AAGAAGTACAGTTCTGGCTTTTATCATTCTGAAATTTTAAGTCTCTTGTCCATTTATTACCATAGTGTTCTACAAAAAGTACTTTTATAGTTGGTTGAGCATTGTAGAAAGTATCCTTGACACTGTTGAAAGATTAAATCTCTTCTAGTCATTCAAACATGAAGACATCTGCTGTCTGTGACTGCTTGTGCCGGAGCATGAATCTGTTTTTTTATGTTCTACAGAAACCATGGAAACTTCATACATCATCTTTAGCTACTGAAAGGGGGAATCTGTGATTCACACATCCTCTGATGTATCATAACCATTAGTGCAGCTCCAAATGAGGGGATAAAAGGACAAGCAGAGTGTATAATTTCTAGCGCTGTGGAGACATTAAAAGAGGTACAGTGAAACACTACCCACGTATATCAAGTACGGCTTCATATGCTCCATCTTCATAAAATGCATAACCTTAATCAGGCCATGAATGTTAATTTGCTGCCACCTAGAGGATACATAGATGTAGATCAGAAAAGTGAAAACGTGTCTGTTATGGAAACAGTTTTTATTGAGATATATATATATATATATATATATATATTCTAATTAATATGAAGCTGATGACTTTAGTCTAAAAATATAAAATTAAGGGATGATTTACTGTAGGATACAGACCTTTTATCACAATGAAGGGGTTTATTGTATCCTAAAGGGCCACATTAATCAACTTACTACACTCTTACTTACCAAATCAATAGAATAAACAACTGATTGGAAATGATCAGTGTTTGGACTCGCATTGTTCTCCATCTGCAACAGATAACTCATTTTCTCATTATCTAACTTGTTATAACACATTTTCTTACCACTAATATTCTAACAATGCCTGGTATTATGATTTCTATATTCCTCTCTGAAAAATCAAACTGAATGTTCACCCACAAGCTTCATCTTCACATGACAGCGCTCTACTCCCTCCCAGCTATGACCTCTGCCAAGTCTCTCTCTATTTTGGTTAAAGGTCAGTTGTTGCCTTCAGGTGTGTAGTAAATAACATTCCCAATAACTGTTAGAACAGCTGATGCTCTAATCACATTACAAAACAACAACAAAACCCTCTACACTGCGCTATAGGGTGTGTTTGTTGTTTCAACTTATCTTTAGAGAATCATATGTAGCAAATAAAGAAAGTGTGCATGTATACAGTAGCACACTAGATTTGTGTTTATTTCCATTTTGTGCATTTCATTTGGTGTAAGTTTATTTTTCTCTAAACATGATTTAAATATGATGAAATATTTTTTTGATAAAATAATATGTTTATTCAGCAAGGATGCATTAAACTGATGAAAAGTGACAGTAAAGATAGTTATAATGTTACAAAACATTTCTATTGCAAATAAATGTTGTTCTTTTCAACTTCTGTTCATCAAAGATTCCTGAAGAAAACGTATCACAGTCTCCACAAAAATATTAGGCAGGACAACTGTTTTCAACATTGATAATAATGGTTGTTGATGAGCACCAAATCAGCATATTAGAATGATTTTTGAAGAATCATGTGACACTGCAGACTGGAATAATGCTGCAGAAAATTCTGCAGTTATTACAATTTTAATTATTAAAATTTTTAATTGCAATATTTCAAAAGATTACAGTTTTTTTTCTGTATTTTTAATTAAATAAATACAGTCTTGGTCAGAATTAGAATTATTTCAAAAAAGTCACCTTATAAAATAATACTTTTGAACACTAATATCTCAAAAAATAATAAAAAATTCAAACCTATACATGGACAGATAAAAAGAGATTGTCTCTCAATGGCATTTAGCTCTGAATCTGAAGGCTATGCTAATTGTTGTGGCAGATATTCTGTTATGTAACACATAGTGGCTTTGATTTTTAATTTTTTTTGCTGCAGTGCAAATCTTAAATGTAATAGCAATCTGCAAGCACTAGAGAGCGAGAGAAGCCTTCACATACAAATTAGAAGTAGGCCTGCATTAAGATCTGAACTTTTGAGTTCAGCTTCTGTGGTGACCATGGAGATAGACTATGGATAGAGCTCCCCTGTTGTCTGAAATTTCCTGTTCTTTCTTCAGCTGCTCAAAAAAGATTCATAGAACTACCTACACATCCGTTTTTATTAAAAAGTCAAGAGGAAGCCTTCATCACAGTGCTTTCTTTACAAGATTCAGCTTCAAGTGTATATGGCAGAAACCAGTTTTTCACAGAATTCAGAAAATTCACCAGGGACAATGGATCCTCTTTCTGTAAGTTTCATTGACTGGCATCTCTGATATTCTGTGGGATGTACTGCATATCACAAGCTAAGAAAAAAAAATGGCCAAGTGAGTAATTTGAATCGCATTGTGAAATCAGCACTAAAAGCATAAGACATAGTGGCTTTATTATTGAATCTCTGCACATTGAATGGAGATGTAAATTAACACCTACTTCTAGATAGATTCAAAATATATTTAATAACCTCAATGGGAAGAAAAACACTGAAAAAAACAATGCTAGAGCTCATTTAACACTCACCAAGCCTAATATTTGCATATGCCTTAAAGCCATTATTAAAAGACAAGCATGTCACATGTGATTTTGAGCACTGCATGTTAAGTGAATACAGCATACGGTACCAATACTGTAGGGCATGTTAAAGCATGTGTCAAACAAGATCAATGTCAAATTTTGTGGTAATTGAATAGGATCACAAAGACAGTTAAAGGAATAGTTTACTCAAAAATTCTGCCATCATTTACTCACCCTCAAGTTGTTCCAAACTTTTTGAGTTTCTTTGTTCTGATGAACATAAAAGAAGATATTTTGAAGAATGTGGGCAACAGTTTCTGGACCCTATTGACTTCCATAGTATTCTCTAATGTGTACTCTAATGACATGATCGCTGTTTTGAGTAAGCATTGAATATGGGGGCAAAAGGATGTTTGTGGCAGTTGACAAAGGTTGAGATCGCTTTAAAGGGGTCATATGATGCTTTTTTAAAGATCATTATTTTGTGTATTTGGTGTAACAGAATATGTTGACATGCTTTAATGTTCAAAAAACACATTATTTTTCAAATACTGTACATTATTGTAGGTCCTCTATGCCCCGCCTCTCTCAAACGCTTCGTTTTCTACAAAGTCCCTCCTTCCGACAAGCGCAGTCTGCTCTGATTGGCCAGCTGACCCAGTGCATTGTGATTGGCCGAACACCGCAAGCACTCGTCGGAAATGTAACGCCCCTTACCACAATCGCGAGCTTCATCTTTCAAAATAAATGTAAAGACAGAGCCCGAAAGGGGAACAGAGTCCCGTGACAGACACAGTGATGAAGCTGGTATGTGTTTGCAGTACACAAGCCACGGTTAAGACAGCTGACTTCACTGTGATGTGACCCCCTCTCTCTCTCTCTCTCTCTCTCTCTCTCTCGCTCTCGCGCTCTCTCTCTCGCTCTCCCTTTCTCTCTCACTCTCTCTCGCGCTCGCTCTCTCGCTCTCCCTCTCTCGCTCTCCCTCTCTCTCTCTCTCGCGCTCTCTCGCGCTCTCTCTCTCTCTCTCCCTCTCTCTCTCGC